AAGGACCCGAACGTGCCATCTCCTGGTTAAAGATCGGCCTTGTCGAGGAAGTTTTGAAATAGTTGGGTAGCCTTAGATTCAATCTTTGGAAGATCCAGGCCCCTCCACAGGCACTGACCAAAAAGTTCCAAGAAGTGGTCTCTCAAAAACGAATCTTGGTGTGTGTATAGATACCCCAGAGGGAGCCGGCGGAGCATGCCTTGTCACCAGCAGTTGTGCCTCCCTCCATTCCTTTGCTTGATTGAATGATTCTGAGAATCATTCCTTCCAGGGCCCCCCATTGGTCACATTCTGATTTGGGAGAAACTGGGGCTGTTGATTAGGAATCGAAGATGTTGAAATTGATAACCTTTCCGCCCTAGCCTTGGTTGGCTACATCAGACCAGAAGTCATCTCCTCCCTCAGGTTCGATGTAATTGACCTGCACAAAACCACTAAGCTTGGTCGGTCGAATAGCAAAACCATTCGAAGGTCTTTCTTTTTCACATACGCAACAACTTATACGGGCCGAGTTGGTTAGTAAGGAAATGAAAGATTTTACCCGCCAATAGCTTCGCTAAAGCGAATACGTACCCGCCCACCGATTCTTTAGAAAAGAAATCCATTTTTTCCAAGCGTGATTCTTAATAATCATTCTTTCATATGCGCACCGCTTCTCTTCATACCTAGACCTACCCACCCACTATTCTACCTTGACCGCCCTGAGTATCCTTCATATTCATCGTAGCGGTCCTTGTCTCAATTACATTGACCCAACGAACTTTTCGAAGTGAAGGAAAAGACCTTAGGAACGAAAGCCAGTATCCGCAGAGTGATTAACTCGTCCTACCTTCTCAATTACATCGACCCTACCGGAGAACGAGCCAGCCAGTCCGAGCGAAAGAAGGAATACACGGGCAAGCGTGTGAATCATCACAAGCGGGTAGACCCTTATCCACAATAGGATTGGCAGTGGTTCACCCAGCTAGGACATGATATCCGTAACTGAGAGTTCGTTCCTTCGTATTCCTCAATTACATCGACCCAACGAACGAAGCGAAGCGAAGTTCAGTCAAAGAGTTCCTTCGGAAGGGACTGAAAGAGGAAGCTAAATCAGCTAGTCCGGCCTTGGGTTAAGGAGGACTGGTGACCTTGGCTCAACCGGAACTACAAATCATGAAACTACAGAATAAAGACGGCCAGGATTCGAAACCCTAAAAAGTACATAGCAATTGGCTTGTTCGTTCCTCTCTCTATGGCCGAGTGACTTCGTTCCTCAATTGCATCGTACTTTTGTACTGAAGGCACAAGTCAAAGTCACCACTTTGAACAGCGTGAGGCGCACCTCCATCCTCTGCCTACTATTGATGTAGCACGTTCACTTAACGCTGAAGAGATTCCGAAAAAGAGGCCCGGACGTTCTGCCGAGCCAGCTACTGCGCTTGCTGCTTCTGGCTCTCAATCGAGGATTTCTCCTTTGCTTCCTTTTATCTTCTGTCTTTCTCCACCCTCACCCAACGAACGAAGCGAAGTTCAGTCATATAACTTCGGAGAGGTAAGAAAGGAAACTTATCTACTCCAATAGTTCGCTTGAAGCTCAACTTGACGTAAACCTTCGGTGCGGTAGACTCAACACCAACTCCCGACTAAGCTTGTTCAGCTAAGCCGAAGATTAGACACAAATAGAACAATGAACACTGACTTAATCTCTTCATTTAAATAAAGAAAGGGCAACCATATGCTTCGACCCGCATCAAGGCTCGATGTAATTGACCTTCTCACCCGAAGTTCAAGTTTGTTCAGTTCCTTCCCTTGTTGGTGATTAGTGATCCCTCGAGGCACCTGTTGTGGTCTTCGGATATACAACAGACTACCTCATACTAATAGTGCATCTAGGTAGTTCAAACCTAGGTACATTATCCAGTCTTAGTACCATTGGTGCCATCCTATGGTCAGTTCTGCTGACCAAGTGGACGAGCAGTCAACGGTAAGGGGGACTGGTAGCAATATAGGTCTCTCCCCCTTGTTCTGTGGGAGAGTGAGAAGTGTTAGTTACCATAGTGGCGCGACAGGTCAGCGACCACTGTGTGTCTTCTTTATTCACATATTAAGTGAAGATGCATGCTTTAAAGAGTGAGCCGACCTCCAGTATCAAATAAACGATGATAACAGATAAGTCGCTATTCTCATCTCTCATTAGTATACATTGACTTGGCAGAGGATTTTTGAAGATTTTCGTATGGTACAAACTTTTCGAAGTGAAGTCATAGAGCGGAACCCATCCCTAAACTATCTTTCTTATGCCGTGATCCTATCTTTCTTTAAATAGCGGTGAGGAGTTACTGAGCTTCTATCTGTATCTTCTTTGGCTAATCCAAAAGAGACTCAATTACATCGACCCTACTGTAGTTATAGAAGCTTTCGTTGGTACCGCATCAACTACTAGGTATTTCACTGCCTCTTTGGTTGCTGGGCCTGGGGTCCCTATTCTATTCGGTATTTACGTTATAGGTATCACCCTAAAGTCTCTATAGGTACCCCTCTACCTTTAGGGGAAAACAGAGCCTTGAGAATGTCGAAAGTAGTTGGTTCAGGCGGTACCGGGACTTCTTCATCTGAGCGTACTTCCATCAGCTTCAGGAAGTGCAGTTGAAGTAGAGTCGTATTACCAGTAGAACATTCATTCGACCTAGTACCAGCGCCTGCCCTCTGAGCTAACTTTCCATTTGACGGCAAAAGAGCAATAGGACCTGTGAAAGTAACATCTTTGACTTATATACACGAGAGGATTTTCTTAATCAAGCCAAGAGGAATCGATGACGCAGTCCATACCAGGTAGATTTAGGAGTTACTGGCACCCGGTAGCAAAGGTGCGAAGCAGACTCGGCTTAACTTCACTTGAGTTCGGTTTCCCCTGTAAATAATGAAATAAGCTTTTCTTCGCCCTTTGTAGATAGGGGAGCCGCTAATTCACTTGGTTAACTGGGACTAAGAAGGGATAGGATTAGATTAGAGCGCTTTCTGCCTGTCCTTTCCTTACTCTGTCGATGGTATGCCTGAGATAAAGTCTTTCTCCTTGGCTTGTACTCGAGATCCGATGTTCGAAAGACAACCAATCCTTTTCCAGTAACCATTCTGAGTGGGAGTTAGGATCTATGTTCAAAGGAGGGAGTCTATTAGCAGAGCGTCGATAATCGGGTTCTTGCCTTTCGTTTTGACGTCAATTACACCAAACTTTGACTGAACTTCGTTCGATTACATTGACCTTACTACCCTCTCTTTTCCTTCACTTCGCTTCGCTTCGAAAAGTTTGTACGGTCATTCCTGGATATTCCTTACTTGCTTAGGGCCTAGGAGTTTTGACAGATTTTTAGCATTGGGATTCCTTTCACTTCTCAAAAGAGAGAAGAGAAGCCCCCTACCCTAATCTAATAGGCCGTAGGAGAGCTTTTTGCCCCTTCCTTCCCTTGTTCTCTTCCTTGAGGGAATGCCTCTATGTTGATTAGGGGAATAGCTCATTCCAATCTACGTACCACTTTACTTGATAGGGCTATCAAAGCAGAACAAGAAAGCAAGGAAGAAGGATCGGTCACCCTCTCTTCGAAAACTAACCCTAAAGGGAAGCTCAACTACGAGTTAGCTCTCTTAACCCAACGAACGAAGCGAAGCAAAGTGAAGTCATAAAAAACGAAGGGAATTAAGAAAGTCATCTTTCTTGGAAAGATAGCCCCGTTGTNTCAGCCACGCTTTGTTTTGAATGTTCAATTGAAAGAGAGCGAAGGATCCCTTCAAGAGCTGACTGAGCCGATTGGCGAACTCTCGTTTTAGTTGCTTCACCCCACCTTAACGACCAAGGTTTGGAACAAGGCCTATCTCGCTATAAGGGTACGGAGAACTAAGAAGAAGCGGGTGACATACTTTTTCTAGTCTTATCCTCAAGTTAGGGCAGGCGGGGCTCTCTATTAATTGGGAACACTTCATTCTGCTGGCTACCTTGCATCAAAGAAAACTTCCTTGCTGGCTGCACTCCGCGCACTTCAAGGAGTAAGTATACGCTTCCTTCGGTCGAAGCAATAAGGTCTGTTTCACTGTTGGACTCGAAGTATCATGGGCTCTTTCCCATCTAACATATGTGTGCTCCGGACAAAGACTTGTTTTCATCGTTGATCTCCTAATCCTACTGGGAACTCTTAGTAGGTGGTAGCTCATCTAATCCTTTAGCTTCGCAGGCTTTCGTTTCTCTCTTACTGCTTTCGGTAAAACCTATTCAAATTTTCGTAAATAGTATGTATTCGCTGATATCGAAATCAGGGTTTTCCGCTTTGGATCGCTGGGTGGAGAAGAGGAATCAACGAAAAATCCAGGAAAGAGCTGCGAAAGAAAAGCGTGACGAGCAAAGTCAAGTCTGCCTTTCTATTTCTTCTTTATCCGCTTTGAGATATAGTTGCCTTCCTTGGCAAGGGATTTTTCACCCAGTCACTGTAGTTAGGAAAAAGAAGCTAGTGAACGTGGACCTCCCTCCTCTTTTCCAGGCGGGACAGAGAGAGTGGATTGGCTTTTTCCTCCCAAATAAAGAAGACTTTGAGGTCAATGTAACCGGGACTTCACTTCGCTTCGAAAAGTTTGTTTGGTCGACTCTTTTATGTCTTTTGACGGCTAGGTCATCTACGTAGCATTCTACGGGTTTATGCAACATCTCTCTTCAGATTTTCGTCATAGACTTTCGTATCCTGCATTTTTTGAACCAGGAATAACAGATGCCGGTCTGCTTTTTCTGTTCTACAACCCACCCATACATAAGGGTATAGGGAACTCGCATAAGTCAGAAAAATCCTTCTTTTACGAGCATAATCTGAATTTATAGTAGCGAAGTAGGAGATGGTATGGGTTTGAATATCGACTTGGTGAGCTACCGTCCTTCTCTCAATCGTTTGTCTCCGGACTCCGGAGGGTTCACGCCAAGCTTCATCAATCGCCACGAACAATCGCTTTCAAGCAATTTTTCTATCTCGACTGGCCAGTATAGCAGATTAGGATTTCATCACCTTCTCTTTCTTTTGTCAAGCAAGGGTGGTCGTAGATCAGGAGCGGTTAAGCAAATCCGTACGCAAATAGGGACAAGTTAAATAACGGGAATAGAAGCAGCATACACCAAGGTAGAAGGCAAGCAACTCTCGTAAGAGGTCTTCCCGGTCGAGATGTCTGAGGTGTATCGGTATCAACTCGCAACGGTCCTGTAACTATGGAAAAGGGGTGATTGCACTTCTACTATGGCATCTTAGCGATGCGGGCAAGCCTTGTTCTCGGTAATATACCCGAAGATGCAATCCAACGAACGAAGGTAATACCATACCAGGAAAGTAGCTAAGAATGAAGCTCAGAATGGAGATAGTGCAACTAAGAATTAGACCAGAGAGATGAGGGATAAAGCAGCTAATGCCAAGACGGCGTAGCTAGTAGCCTGTGCTCTTGTTCCCGCCGGCAAGCGTTGATCGTCATCCCAAAAAATAGAAAATCCCAGCTTTCTGCTTAGAAAGAGCAACCCTGCCTTTGATTCCCGCCTAAACGCGAGAAGAAACCCCACTATCCGAAGAAGATCGCTTAACTGTAGCAAGAGCCCGAAAAAGCCCTTTAAACTACAGGAAGAAGACCCTAAAGAAATTATAGCTGCTCAAGAAGTACAATAAGACAAGTAGCTTCAATAACTCATAACTACACTGTTTAGCATAGAAGGAAGAGTCCTGACTCCATGTCGTCCTTTTAGTCCTCATGGTCGGACTCGATAAAAAGACTTGAGGAGATAGATTGGTCTGGCCTTATCGCATTGGTCCTTTAACCCAACGAACGAAGCGAAGTGAAGTCAAGAAGAAGTGAGACTAACAGAAACAGAACGAAGCGAAGTGAAGTCATAGAGATTTTGGTTGAACCACTCAGACGAAAGAATCAATTCTTTTTAGCTATATTTGTAGCTGATTTGCTACGCAACGAAGAGGAACGATAAACACGAAAGTGGGTGACTTGCGGAACCTTTCAACTGGGCTCCAAAAGAGGATCGGAGATGGTACCAATACCAGATTTTGGGTAGATCGATGGCTCGATGTAATTGACCTCTGCTCGACTATGAAAATGTTTCGGCTAGTGTTGTTGACCTGAATGCACGTGTGAGTGATTACATACTGGAAGCTGGTTCTTGGAATGATGAAAGTCTTTTTGCTCTCTATGACTGAACTTCGTTCGATGTAATTGACCCCACGGAGCGGTCGAGCATATGTTATAACCTCTTGAAGCTGCTAACAAAATATTAGGATACCCCCGGAAAGACATGGCTGATAGCTATGTGTGGAGCTTAACCTCTAAAGGGAATGTACTCTTCTCAATCTGCTTATGCAAGGTTAGTGGCCGAGGAAACCTCTGGAGAAAATGTTCAATTAGGATGGTACGAACGAAGCGAAGCGAAGTGAAGTCACTCAACCGGAAAGATGTAATCGAGCCAAAGGTCAATTGCATCTTTAGAAGCGAAGTTCAGTCATAGAAGAATCCTTAGTTTAGGAAGTACCAATGGGTCAATCAAAGCAGCAACTCAGAGAAAGAAAGAACTCCTAAGCCCAGATTTCCCCCCTTTTAAGGCATCTTTGGATGGTGCCATGGGTGATGAATCAAAACCAGAGAAAAGATCAGATAAGAGGCCTGCTATGCCTTTTTTTGCGTTCTATCGCACGTTTACCTAGGGACTTGACTTCTTATACCGGGAATAGAAAGGAAGGGATTTACTACTCTCAGTTTAAACACATCAATTTGGTGATCTAACTATCACGTATATGACTGTCGAAAATATTGACTAGCGCTATTGAGAACTCAATTACATCGAACCTCGTGTCACATGTCATGAGAGGAGTTCCGAAAGTGAGTAGGGCCTAGTCTTAGCCTGAAGTTAAGCAAGGTCTTGCAGAGCCTTTAACTCGTTTAAAAGCCCTGAAAGGCCGTATAAACCATAGCAAGAACTTCCTTAAGACAGTAACTCAACTCAAGGAACTCAGAACTAGTAGCTTCATCTTGGCTTTCGCCTTACTTCACTAGAATCTCTTGCAGCCTTGTCTTTAGCCGCTAACTCCTAACTCCTACCACTTTACTTGATAGGGCGAGCCAAGAAGCAGTATCGGAGGTCACCTAACTTCAGTAGAAGCACAGGAGCTTCTATTTAGTAAAGCCGAAAAAGGCTAACGAACGAGCCAGCCGACCTATTCTCATTATAAGCTGACCTTGAAAGGGCAAAAAACCCAATGAACTCTATCCCATTAATTCTTTCCTATGCATACTCGTTACCGAAGGGAGTTGTAGTCGGAGAGCTATTCCTTAGTATTCTTTCCCCCGTTGCAATGAAAGATCTTCTTGGCCCTAATTTGACTTCACTTCGCTTCGAAAAGTTTGTAGGGGGTTTGTTGGAATACGTAGGGACGACGTATGGGTAGCCGAAGAAGGGCAAGAAGGCAAGAAGCACTTTTCTAAGAACTGTCGCTCGGATGCACATTGTGACCTTTCCTCTCTTTCCGGCCTACTCGAAAACCAGTTTTCCAGTGGTTCTTGGAATATCAGGACGTATCCTATTGCAAAGCTTCCCCTTTAGTGCCTGTATATTGACTTTCTTTTGAGCGGGACGGAATCTCAAATCCGATTTTTTCATCGGGGTTCATTCTACGAGAACAAGTGGAGAAGGGAAAGGCACATATTCATAGTGAGCTCCCGTGATATTCCTCCGAATTGCTCGGGAAAGAACTCTTATTCCTACCATTTCACCAGCTTTGGAGCCTGAAACCGGCTCGATCCAGAGACCTGATCTCTTCGAAGGAGATTGTTAATACGATATACTGGAATTTGGCCCAACTTCTAGTCCACCGGGGCAGTTCTCTTATGGGCTCGCCTAGGAATCGTGAGTTCTTTTTTGATTCCGGAAATTCGAATTCTTTTTTCTATCTATATACTCTCGCCCCTCACAGTCTTCGGCTCTGGGGCTGCGGGCATGACTGAATTCATTGGGATGAGGTGACAAAGTTGGCTCGACTAAAAGGAGAGGAAAGGTGTAATTGACGAAGCGAAGTGAAGTCAAATTAGGTCAATTGCATCGAGCCTCGTATAGGCAGATGGGTATAAAGTGGGTCACTCTGTCAAGATTCCATCTTTCCCCCGATCTTTCTTTTCTTTGAGTCAGTCCTCCCTCTCACTTCGCGCAGCTTCATTCGCACCCTAGGGTGCTGCTCTGTTCCCTACTTTTTGTATAAGAGAGTTGTGCTTCTCTTCCCCGATTTCTTCCACAGGTTTCTCGAGCCTGCAGGTTGCAGCTATCCCCCGAAGAGATTCTTCCCATTATGGAATGCAAGAGCAAAAGCGGAAATCCCAGTATTTCCAGAGAGGGGTCAGCTCATCCAGCCTCAGATGACACTCCTTTGTCAGATGATATACCTGATGAAGAAGTTTTATATGCTAAAGTTCAGTTCACCTGGGAGATGTACTTCGATGGTTCATCCAGGAGCGGGGGCAGGGACGAAAGCAGAGCTAGTGGTGGCCAAGTTCGAGAACCGGTAGTAGATTGAGTTCCAGATAGAGCAGCATATGACGAAAAAGAAGAACCTGTTTTAACGTAACAACACCGCCAACTGCGTCAGAGGCAGTTCGAGATGCAGCGAACTAAAAGTAGCGGATTCCGTTGTTTATCTTGAACCAGTCGCAGCATTACTTCCAGGAGTAGGAATAAAGAAAATCATTAGCTCTAGCAGCAGTGGAAACATGAGCAAGATTAGCAAGCTCTTAAAGCTTCACCTTAACCATAAAGTTCGTCAATTACACCTTCCCCAAATCTCGACTATAAAGGAGAGGAATTCAAACTTAAATAAGAAATAATCATACCCAAGATCAACAATCTTATACCTCCCGTCCAGTTGCCACAGCTGTTTCACTCGAGAAGAGAGAGTTTGAAAGCCTCAAACTTTTCCCAAAAGTTTAACAATAAGAGCATTACGCCACGGCTTCCTTAGCAAGGCCTTCTCTTCCTTTGAAAAGCTAACCCGGATCACCACTTTCTTCATCATCAGAAATCGCCTCATCAAAACACATGGGATCCCCATCATCGTTCTCTGTCCACTCCTGCCAAGCCGAATCGTCGACTTTGATTGGCACCTGACAGCATATCTTTGTAGGACGCAGGATTCGCACCAAGAACCGCCCCCGAAGTCCCATGTACCTCCTTATCAGAGGAGACCCATTAACGTCCTCACCAGCCTGAGGATGATCAGAACGGTTCCCACTTCCATTTTCTCTTTGAAAGCATACGGATCTCATTAGCAGCAGTAGGGTTAGATTCTTGAGAGAGAGAAGCCATATGCATATTTAATTGTTAGACCGGCTATTCTCTGGTCTTTTCTTTCTTTCTAAGTTTTTCATCAAGTGGTGGCACAAGGAGAGCAAAGTGAGACTAACAGAACGAAGCGAAGTTCAATCTCTGGAGAGGGAAGGTTCAATTGACGACTAAAAGGAGAGGATAAACTTTTCGAAGCGAAGTGAAGTCATAGAAGAGAGGAAACAAACGAAGCGCAGTGAAGTCCTGGTTACATTGACCTCGCGGATGGAGAGGGATTCGAACCCCCGGTATTCTTATCAATACTTCGGTTTTCAAGACCGACTCTTTCAACCGCTCAGACATCCATCCCTGCGCTCGCCCGCCCTATCTATCTGCGCGCTGGCAGGTAGGGGCAAACTCTATGTGATTCGCTACGCTTGCTTGCGCCCCACCCCGTAAGCTGACTCTATTGCCTAGCGGTTAGCGACACTTTTCCGGTAGTACGAATCGCTACGCTTCGCTTCTTTCTATATGATAATATGCACCGAGGTCAATGTAATCGAACCTGAAAATTGGTTTCTTCTTTTCGAGAGTTCACATGCCAATGTTGAGATGCTAAAAGAGTTACAGGTTTTGAATCAAGCAACAGGAGAAGTCAATCCATAACAGTTGATCGTATTTGCTCCCTTCCGGATATGCGATGCCTTGGGAATGCCAGAGTTGACAGGTGCAACGACCTCAGGGAGGAGAAAAAACCATTCCAGCACGAAGATAGGCTACACTCAAAAAGCGTAGGCCCTAGGTGAAAAACATGGTACGAAAACGGTTACATTAGTGGAGTCAGATCCCGATCAGAGCGGTCTCATCGAAATAAACATATCCAAAAAGGCAGGCACACGACTGGATATCAAAGGTGGGGCTCGAAGCTGCCATCTCCAACTAGTTGGTTGAATTCTTTAATCGACAGGTGAGGATAGATGTAATTTAGAAGCGAAGCAAAGTGAAGTCATAAAGGAAAGTAGGTAATCGCATTCCGAAGCAAGGAGTTAGGATCGACTCAAGTCGACCTTTCCTTCACTGAACAAGCAACGGATTGAGCAACTAGCGCGAAAGCCGTTGCGCTAACGCGCATCCGTTTTCTTGCTGCTTCGAAAAGTTTGTAGGGGTTAGAACTAGTCTGAAGCTTGTCAAAAGGCTTTTGACGGTTTTAAGATGGCGATGGTGATTGAGCCGGTGCTGAATCGGTTGAAACTTTCGCTTCTGGCAGATACCTTGACAGGCTGAGCACTTAACCAGTTGGTGATGCAATTGGCAAGTGAACAACGAGTCTTGGTTGAAGACTCAAGCTTGTGGGCTTGGTAGAAGCAAACGAGTTGGCTATGATGGGCATGTTGTCGCTTACGACTTGGGATGGTATGGGACATTCCCTCATGATGAAATGGCTACCTTCTTTGTGTTGTCTTTCGGTAAAGCGGATCCAAGAGCGGGAAGATCCCCAAGTCTCAGGTGATGTAGATAATCAGTCCAAAGAGAGTTTGTGATCCTAAAACCATTGGACTTCACTGCGCTTCGCTTCGTTTGTTTCCTTTCAGTCGAGACTCACTTTGCTCTCCTGATTGGCTATATTACTAAGGTTTAAGCTTGTCTCCTTTTGTTTGGGGTGTTTATTCCCTAGATCAGATTCTTTCTATCGGTGAAACTTCTAGAAACAAGAAGAAGAGAAATGTTCAATCTACTGAACCGATTTTGGATAAATTCAAAGAGAGTGCTGATTGGTTGGTTAAAGAAGAATGTTACATGGTAGTTCTTATAAGAGTAGCTATCTTCTCTCTAATAATCCGTAGCCCGCCCTTAGGCTTAGGCTGGACAAGGATGCTTACCTGACACTCTATCTCCGGTTCGATAACAAAAACTAGGTTTCAAAGTCCGGATCGGTTCCCTATATTGCCAAATCGCTTCCTTTTTCCGATGCCTGATTCCCGTTATTCTATATCTTAAGGGTCAGAAGCGTCCGCCTTAGGGCAGGGTCGACTTGAGTCAGGGTACAAACGAAGCGAAGTGAAGTCACCTTGGAGAGAGGCAATTGACTCGTACTAGATAGAAGCGTCAGTTAACTGATCTTGTTTGCCCCGTAGGAGGAGGGGGAGAAGAGCAGAAAGGATGCAATCCATTCGAAGCTACTTTAGGCTACAGAGGTTACCTATGTTCCGACTCCGACCCTACTCGTAGGGCCAAGTGGAGCTCCTTTTGAAGGCACGGAAACAGAGCCCGAGCTTTCTAAGTTGAATCAAGTTATTGCCCTATATGTTCCTACCGCTCCTCAATTGCATCGTACTTTTGTCTATGCTGTCTTTCTTGGTTCAACTCGGGAAATGTTTTGAATTCATGTTGTTAGTCTCAACTGGAGTATACCCGGGTTCGTAGTGTTCACGTGATCGAAATGCATTGGATGTATGCCCGGGCAATGTAAATATTTCATAGAGGGAGTTTTTGACTAATGTCTAGATGATCACTACTGACAGTGACATCAGAGTTGGTGACAGGGGAAAGCATGTAACGTAAAAGTCTTTCAAGATGTGGAGAGCGAAGTGAGACTCTAAAAAACGAAGCGAAGCGCAGTGAAGTCAGAAGTAGTATGGGAGAGGAGAGCGAAGTGATGTTTATGGGGGACAAAAAAGCTCATCCAATGGGCCTTTCCCTTTATATATAGGTATACCATCCCTTACACTTGGTCTGAATCCAAGCCCTTTACCTTTGAGATAGCAAACTCTTGCGCGCACCCTTAGACCTATTTCAGCTATTGACCCAGAGAAAGAGCCATCAGCAAAGGTGGCTGGGGAAGTAGGAGTAGTTATTAATAATGCACTCTTTAAAGGTTCGATGTAGAATACCTCTATGACTTCACTTCGCTTCTAAAGGCTCGATGTAATTGACGTTATGTGCATAATCCCGAGTAAGGTATCATATTAGAATAGAGTTTGGCACCTACGCCTATCTCGTCAGCCTC